AAAAAAAAAAAAAAAAAAAAGCCAATGGGGCCTTTTAAAAATTAAGTACACAACTACCTAACCTGAAGATGCGCCGCCTCATCAGAAACCAGAGAAAGGCAAATGAAAGTACCGATGAGGTAGCATTTTCTACCGAGAGGTAGGGCAACAATGAATGGCTAGCGGGGTTGGGGGGGGGAGGCACTCCGTCATTTTTGCAGTTGGTTTGTACTGGAGCAAGGCAGGGAGGGGGCTGGGCTCTAGCAGTTTTCTAGAAGGTTAAATTTGGAAAGCACTTAAACCGAATCCCTTGGGAAACGACTTGAGCAACGAGTGGAGAGACTGGGGTTGCGTTACTAAGGACATAGATGATTCTAAGCAAACGGAAAACAGAAAATTCCTAACAGCGGGAAAACGAAAGGTCGTGCAGAAAGGAAAGGTAATCAGAACTTCTTACATGGCTAACGTAATAATAGGGAAGAACAATGGTCGCTGAGATTCTTGGATGGACAGATTAATGTCTTCCATCGCATTTGGGAAGTTTTCAGCCATAATTCTCCACATTTTTCCCCCCGCCCCAGTAAGTTTTTTGAAAGAGGATCATGGAGCAGATTTGCAAGCAGAAACAAAGTGAATGTCTACCCAAGCGACGGTTGAACGGGGTGTACTAATATCAGGCTGCAAAATGACATGGCAGAGGGCATGGGTACACCGAGGGTGCAGGGTTGAGGCCAAACGTCGTCCCCCGCCGCCATTATCCACAGGAGACTACCCCTTCTCAGCCAATTACTTCCGGTGGGGCTCTGCTTCCAGCTCTGGGGTGGTCATGTGGCAAGGCCTCAGCCAATCAGAGAACGGCGTTGTCGTGGCCATGCGATTAGATCAGCCATCGATGCAGGACCCAATCAGAACCAAGCAAGCTCAAGGTTGCCTGGGTGGCTCAGTCGGTTGAGCGTGGGACTCTCGGTTTCGGCTCGGGTCCTGATCTCAGGGTGTGTGGGTTCGAGCCACACCACAGGCTCTGTGCTGGTAGTGTGGGGGCTGCTTGGGATTCTCTGTCTGTCTCTGCCTCTTCCCCTCCCCTGCTCTCTCTCTCTCAAAGAGAAACTTGAAAAATTTCAAAAGAAAGAAGAATGAAGCAAGCACATAGAAAGCACCACCTGGGATGGGCAGGGCTCACACACGCTCTCCCGTTGGGCGGCGCTCTTGAGAGGCTGGAAACTTGGGGGGGGGGGGAAGGGGGGTGGCTGGTGGCCATCCTGCACCACAAGGAGAGGAGAGGAGAAGTCTAGAAGAAGTCTACCCAGAAGAAGTAGATCAGTTGGGAGAGAGAAACCCATCGTGGTGTTGAAGTTGCTGCCTTTGCGTTACGCTGCACCTGAAGATTTTTTTTTTGTTTTCGTTTTGTTTTGTTTTTTGGAGAGAGAGAGGACACAAGTGAGCGAGGGGCGGGGTGGGGTGGGGCGGGGACAATCTCCCAGAGAGAGAGAGAGAGAGAGAGGGACAGAGAAGCAGCGCTCACGCGATGCAGGGCTCGAGCTCACCAATGGTGAGCTCATGACCTGAGCTGAGGTCAGACGCTTAACCGAGGGAGCCACCCAGGCGCCCTGAGGTTGGTTCTATTTCGGGACTTCTCTTTTTCAAATCAGCCAGTTTGAGGTGGGTTTTCTGTTGTTTGGGACCACATGGGTCCTGGAGAATACTCTGGTAATCTCAGCTTCAGAAGGGAGCGTCCAGCCCCAGAAGGGCTCAGTGGCTTCTCTTGATCAAGGTCACTCGTTGGTCAGGAGTTGCTGTTAAGGCAGGGCCTCATAGACATCAGTGGCTTCAGGGGTCTTACGGATTAGGATTCTCTGGATATTAGTCAGGACTCCTTTATATGAGGCTGCAGACACCAGCCTCAAATGGATTTATGAGCATAGATTGGCTCATTAACTGCAAAACCCATTTATATCTAATTTCAGTCTTGGATCCTAGTGTTCAAATAATGTCCTCAGATTCCCTTTCTCTTAATCTGTTGGCCCTGCTCTGTATAGGTGTCCTGCTCGGACAGAATCTACCCAAGTGGTGGCAAAGATGGTTACCAGCAGCTCCAGCCTTTCCTCCCACAAACCTAGCACATCTTATGAGGACAAGAACATTTTAGGGGCGCCTGGGTGGCTCGGTCGGTTGGGCCTCCGACTTCGGCCCAGGTCACGATCTCGCGGTTCGTGGGTTCGAGCCCCGCATCGGGCTCTGTGCTGACAGCTCGGAGCCTGGAGCCTGCTTCGGATTCTGTGTCTCCTTCTCTCTCTGCCCCTCCCCCGCTCACGCCTCTGTCTCTCTCTCTCTCAAAAAGGAATAAACATTAAAAAAAAAAAAAAAAAAGAACACTTTACCTAGTAATAGGTGTAGGAAAAGGCCAGGAGCTGCCTCACTTGGGTTGTATGTCCATGCCTGAGCCAATGGCCGTGGTCGAGGAATGGAACGTGCTGGTTGACCAGACCTGGGGCATGTGGCCACCCCATGGGGCCAACGGGGGGAACCAGCCTGAACCATATGGATCAAGAACATGGAAGGAAAATTTGAGGTGCTGTCAACCGAAAGGGGGGGTGAGTGGGTGCTGAACAGGCAAAAATAGCTGTCCACTACCTTTTATACTATTCCGAGTATCCCAAGGTCATTATCACAGCTATAATTAAATAGACCCCAAACCCTCCCCCTTCTTCAGGCACCCTGTGTTTTCCTTTAACATCAAAATAGAACGACCTGAAGGGCACCTGGGTGGCTCCCTCGGTTAAGCCTCCCACTTGATTTTGGCTCAGGGCATGATCTCACAGTTCGTGAGATCGAGTCCTGAGTCGGCCTCTGCGCTTGAGAGCTCAGGTCCTGCTTGGGATTCTCTCTCTCTCTTCTCTCTCTCTGCCCCTCCAGTGCATGCGTGCTTTCTCTCTTAAAATAAGTAAACTT